TGAAGTGCACACATTTCCAAGTACAAATCTCTATCGATTCCTCAAACTCAGCAGCTGTTTAAAAAAAACATTGTCAACAACACTCTAGAAATTTCAAAAGCTACATCCAGCTTGCGTGCAGCAAACCTTGCCTAGCTATAGGGCTAATACTTCTTCGAATTGAGTTCAATTTACCCTTTCTCACAGAACAATAGATGTTGAGGCATTTGACTTAAAGGGGCTCTGAAACACTTTTTCTAAGTAACCATGGAATGAATTCACTGGAAGAGCTTATTGCATCACGAATTGCAAAAATTTTTAAAATCCATCCAGTGCAAGTGGAGTTACAAAGGTTTGTCGCATGTTGCAATTGCATTCTCTCATCTCTCGTTCCGACGAAAGCGCTGGAAGCTAAGGAGGGAGTGGTGGCAGGGGCAAAGAAACTATGTCACCCGCGCCTGGTGACCTTGAGCACTTTTTTTTTTACTTTGAATGTGCGACTTTTTCAGTGTGATCACACCTGCATGCGTGGACAAGTAGCGATCTCTCTCAGCAATCTTTGTAACGAGAGAGCGCGCCATGCTCAAATCATCCAATGGCTGATATATGGGTAATTGACGGGTGATTTTCGGGCATATTCCGCGATTTCTCGAGAGAGAAGAAAACACTTTTTTTTAGCCGGCTGTGATAACTTATTGTGAATTCCAGGCCACGTGCTGCGCTATAATATTCGGCTCGCGTATTGCCCGAAGCCTCTGCTACCGATCGGCAGCGTTTTCCGACCATGCTGAAAAAGTGCTGCAGGGCCCCTTTAAGGTGAATATAGCACTGGTAGCAATGCACTAAACAGATCCCATTTCTTTGTCTCAGCACTCATGCAAACAAGGCAGATGCATACTAAAATACCAATGAAAAGGTGCAACAGTGTGGTTGTGTGTTGTTTGCACATGGTGGAAGTCACACTTGTGCAACATGGAGGCACTACATGTCTCATGCATTCTGAGAAGCCATTATGTCAGGTAGGCAAAACAGCAGAAAGTTGACCTAGCTGGTACAGACTCATAATAAGTGAAGGTACAGTGTGCACAAGAAAACCAGACAACATAGACATTGATGGTTTACTCTGTCCACTGATGCATTGCTTTCCTAATAGACTTTGCTGCAATTCAATTCCTCTTTGAATTGGTGTTGCTCTGGGCTATATGCATGACATTTCGCATAGAAGCCAAGTTGAATATAAGAATGTCAATTCTCTCTTTTAATCTGTGATTATAAAGCTAGCGTAGCGATTCGGCTATAGCAGCGGTCTGAAAGTCGCATCAGCTACTGGCAGGGTTCATGCAGGTCCTTGAAAACCCTTCAATTTGAAAAGATTGTTTTCAAGGCCTTGAAAGTGGTGGAATTTTCGCTAATGCTTGAAAATCCTTGAATTTCCTTTTTCTTAAACATTTTCGCACAATTCGCAGTGCATTATTGAGATGCCGTAAATGTAACAGGTGGCATATGTAATGTTCTGATCGCTTGAGAATTCGGCAACAACAGTATATTCTGCGCGAAACCAACACCATGCATTTATGGAAGCTCAGAAAAGGCAGGACCAGGAAGATGGGAAACAGACAAACAACCGTTGCATTTAGGAGGAAGGTCAAAATGCTTACAAAAGAGGAAGAGAAGCTAGAAGCCTCTGTTAAGATACTAACAACTACAGCAGACTCATATGCAGAAAAGGCAGAGGACTAATCTGCAACCTGACATGCATTATTAAGTCGGACAGCCTTAGGAAGATTGCCAAGACCAAGCAGCATGAGATAGTGGATATTGATATGAAAATTCAGGAAAGGCAACAAAGTTTTGTGCAATAACTGTTCCTCAGTTCTTCCTATCTGAATAAAAGTTTGCAACTGGTGTCATACTGAAAGTGATTATCTATGCAACATGAAAAACTATCGTTTGAAGTTGTCTATAAAGCAAATGTCATTGTAGTCATGTTCTTAACATCTGCTCCAGTGATGCTGCCTCTTTTTGATGAATTCAAGTTATTTCGAGCCCTTATCCTCCCCTGAACATGTTTTGATTGAGTTTCTAAAAGACAATGTGAATCTTGAAAATTCGCACACATAGGCAAATTCCGGTCAGTTTCGATGGAGGCGGAAATGTTGCAGGCCCGTGTGCTCAGATTTGGGTGCACGTTAAAGAACCCCAGGTGGTCAAAATTTCCGGAGCCCTCCACTACGGTGTTTCTCATAATCATATGGTGGTTTTGTGATGTTAAACTACATATATCAATCAAATCATAGCCTTGAAAATCCTTGGAATTTTTGTCGAGTAAATAAGCATGAACCCTGTACTGGCCTGCAGTCACAAAGTTTGGGCCCTCAAATGGCCGCGATATTGAAAAAGTTAATGTGGGGTAGAAGGAGGCACTTCTATAAAACAGCAGCTAACGTTGTCATTTGAAAGGCCTTTCCCATATTTCATGCATGGGTCATTTTTGAAGACTTGGCGTCAGGATTCCAGAAAAATATGGCTGTTCGTGCCAACAATAAAATCTGGCTGCCAATCTTGGTGTAGCATTTTTTGTCCTGCACTTATAGCACAAGGTGCAGAATGTACTAGGCAATGAGGGTTGTTTCTAGTGATTCTCATGAAAAAAAAAAACAAAGAAACTTAAGATTAGTAATGTCTGTGTAATGTGCCCAAACAAGATATTATTAATCACAGTAGCGAGAAAATTATGCCAGAACAATTTAGCAATGCCACAAACAGTCTTAAAGCCATACAAGAAATATGGGACCAAAACTGTCGTGTGGGGGCTGCTAGAAAAAATTGGCTGCATCCAGCTTGCGGGTTTTCGATTTGACACCTGTACCCTATAAATTCCACATTGCTCATGACTGTTATGCGTGTGTTCAAAATAGCACTCATGTATACAAAGAAATGTCAGAACATCTGTGCTGTTGATTGTGACAATTTGTAACAGCACTTACAGTGTGTGGAAAATGGTCTGCCACAAGGAGACACTTAGCCATGCACAAAATATGTGGTGAGAAAATGCAGCTCACAGCATCACCCTGAATTTCTGATGCCAATAGGATGTGAAGCTGTAGACTGTGGTAGCATATGCTGGGGCATACGTAATTCTATGTTGGTGAAAATAAATAGTGTGCGTCTTAAGGAACTCTGGGACTTAATGCGTCACGTTTCTGAACTTCTGTTTGAGGCAGCATGGTAAAACGACACACACAAAAAAGAAAAAAAAGATTCGTCTTGTCATACGCTTACGTTCGGTTTATGACGGAAAATTTAGAAAGAAATTCGGACCTTCAGCCTCAGAAAGTATTAGTATAGAGAGTAGTATATCAGGCTAACCGAAGTACTTATTTTTCATGTGAAAGGTGTAACCCCTATATTTATAAATACTCCTTAACTAGAACCTAATTTGCCAGCACCTTCAAAGCAGTGCGTTCGAAACGTGTTTGTGCTTTTGTGCTGCCTTGGCACCGCGTGAAGCTGCGTCTGTGCAGCATTGAAGGTGGTGGCAAGTCAAGTCGGGGAGCATTTCTAGCAGTATTGAGTCTTCTTTCAGATTAAACATTAGTTTATAGGTTTGCTGCCTTGGCACTGCGTGAAGCTGCGTATGTGCAGCATTGAAGGTGGTGGCAAGTCAAGTCGGGGAGCATTTCTAGCAGTATTGAGTCTTCCTTCAGATTAAACATTAGTTTATAGGTTTGCAAAAAATACAGTTTGTGCATACTGTGAAGGTGCTAGGGGTACATTTTACAAATATTGTGCAATGGAAGGACCATGTATGCTCAGTATTCCAAGAACTTAGCCCCATAACAGGTGTTCTAGGTTTTAATAGGTGTAAGTCACTTGTTTCTGCAAAATTGTTGAATTTTATGCTTTATTTATGTCTCACATTTATTATGGGCATCTTGTACGGGGCACAATGACTCAGCTGAACCTAAATGAGTTATTTTGTATGCAGGAGAAAATATGTGTCATCGCTAATGTACCGTATGTGGCTCATACCTAAGGCCTGTTTGAGAAATACAACATAACCAAAGTGTCCATGAGATGTATAAAACTTGACTCTTACATGAATACTATTTAGTGCTAAACATAACACTACCTTATTGGGGGAACATGAAACCTGTCTGTTGACTCATACTATTATAGTTCTCATACATCAAAAGTACGGAAGGTACCATGCTTTAGAAGAAACTATAGTTATCAAATGTGTGATAATCTACCTAGACATCTTAACTCGTAAAGTAGAGCAGGTTATAGTATACAGCACTTGACATTGCCAGAATTTAAAATCTCAACACACTCCCCTCTCTAGAATACTCCCTGTAAGTTAATTATTTGAGATATGTTTTCTCACATACTATGAGGCACATATCTCTTTTGTTTTTCATTTTGTCTGTGTAGTGTAATCCCTTGTGATTTTTTTTATTTATTGCATGACGATCACATTTTATGGTGACTGTATTATTGTGTTCTACAAACGTTGCGTGCTTTGCCATGTGTGGCCGTACTGTACCAAAAGGGGGTGAGGTTTCTCTCAAGGCACACACGTCTGTGCAGATTTTTTTTGCCTACCTTCATTCACCACTGTTTACTGTACTGTCCCCTGTTAAAGGGAACACTCGAACGCACACGCTCAATACTGCTGACCCTCTAACAGCAAGTGGCTATGAAAACAATTTGTATGCACATCACCAGTGTGTCAAGAGGTGTTGAAACTTTCAACCACCAGTAGTCTTATGCATATCTAAGCTACTATGTTTCCGTAATATAGTGAAATCTAAACATGCCATGCTCTCAGGTGTTCCCCTTAAAGGTGGATGCGTCTGTACATGCGTGTGTAAATGGATATTCAATAAATCAATCAGTCAAGCCACACTTCATTTTACCCCTCCACCCCCCCCAGTTTTTCGGGAGGGAGGGGGCTTTCGAATTGTTTCGAAAGCTAGAGCTATTAGCACATTGTCACCCAAGCACTGTGCGTGACCCAGTGATGGACGCCTCGAAGAAGGAGACCAGATCCTGGCGATAGACGGCCAGCCACTGGACAGCAACATCTCACACCAGCAGGCCATTGGCATTCTCCAGCAGGCCAGGGGAACCGTGCAACTTGTTCTCGCCAGGGGGACACCGGTCAGTGCCACTCCACCCGCCACTCAAGGTGAGCACCCTCACAAAGTGCAGGGGTTGCGTAGCTGAAATAAATTGCAAAGAAACAGGATGAAAAAATCTGTAAACAGGGGTTGGTGCCGAGCCGACGTTTCGACAAGTCCACTTGACGAAATGTCTGCTCTACAAAAACCCTGTTCACAGATTTCTTCATTGCGAGCTTCCATCTTCCCCATTCTGCCGTTTTTTAAAGAAACAGGATGTCACTTAGCTACTCACCCGCATACATTGACAGAAGCTGATGAACTTTGACAGCAGCCTGTGATGAAATGTGCTTGATTGTTCTTTTGTGGCAAAAGCACTCAGTGATGGTCTTGTTTCTCTTGCGAACTTCGGAGTATTCAGAAAAAGATCTTCTAAAGAATAGAAATCGATGGTTCTGATTCGAGTCAACAGTTATCAAGCATACGTTTACTTGAAGGGCCAGTAAACAGGCGCTGACATTTTGTTTTACATCCCTCCAAACAAGCTCGCCAATCCGTAAAGTATACTGTTTCGATCACATTTGTTGAATATTACAGTGCGGCGTGCCGTGCAGACCCTCCATTTTGAAAAGCAATCGTGCGCCTGTTTCCGTCATCTGACCAATCTCATCCGTAAGTGCAGTCCGACGAAAACTTGCCCACGGGCAACGTTATGCACCACTGAGCTCTTTGATTGGTTCTTTGCCCTACAAAACGAAGCCTTGGCCTTGCGGCGGTGCAGTTTCTCTCACGCAGCCCGCATTTTCATTTTTCTGTGCTGCCCTCTGCCATTTTTTTTAGAGCCTGAGACTCTGGGAGAAGCGATTTTAGACTAAAGGCCTCCGAGATAAAGCGGTGTCTCACTACTTTACTGCAAGGGGAAAAGTGCTCCTCGCTCCGCGTTTCCTGCCCGAGCCGCTATGACATGTGCTCATATGGCAAGAAGTCTCACTCGGTCATTGGTTACGCGTCCCTGACGTGTCACGGACATCGTGTCACATTGCCAAAATGGGCGAAGTTACGACAATGGGCTACTATTTCCCCTCCCTTTGGCAAAGAATAGTGGCAAATGGCCACGAGAAAAGTTGAAACCACCTGAAGAAGATGTTCTAACCTCTGTAAATTCCTTAATGTAGCAAATATTCTCAAAATTTGCTGGTATCATTATGGCACCTTGCGAAGCAGATTTAAACCGACGTGCTTTTTTTTATATATTTGTTGTATCTTTATCTATATTTGTATATCTGTATAATTATCCGTCTAGTTTCGCCAGCATCAGCAAATCTGGGCAGATAAATGAGAACCTATGTTGTAGTTTCTTCCCGCCATCGCATGGTGCTTACAGCCAAAAATGATCATGTCCCGAGTGTAAACAGTGAAAAATTAGCCATTGCCAAATTAAAAGAATGCACGTGTGTACAAAAATTTCGCAAATGCATGTCACCATGTAACTGGCCCCCTTTAGTTTAATTTCTTGTGATGCTTACAGTTCTGCCTTTCTGGAGTCACAAAAGCAATGATGCCAGCTAACAAATTTCTTTTAGCACTGCATAAGTATGAATAGAACCAAATATGAACTTTGGGTTCTGTTTGAGTAGCAGTTCAGTTTAAATGATTTTCACTTACCGTGATTCCACTGTGCAGAAGGGTAATACGGAGCGCTGCCGGTGCCAGTTACATAACACGTGCAGTACCATCATGGTAAGGACGTTACTGCACATGTAGTGATTGTAACACAGCTTCTTCACTGTCTGAAGCCCTAACTAGCTGGGACCGCCATCAGATTGCATGAGCTTCATATTTTGCGCGTACTGAACTGTTAAAGATTTAATAATGCCATCGATTAATGTAATCTTTTGGCAAGCAAGTTGTGAGACTGCGCAACTATAACATTGTTGTGCTAGTACAATGCTACAACTTGGTTCATTGCCATTGCTGTTTTGTTTTTATTCGTATTGTCTATCTCTTGAGTCCGCTCAATCAAAGTTTCTGGGTTGTCGTCCTACGCTGCAGCCCCTCCAGCGGCGCACATTTTTTTCATCCTCTCCAAAGTCCAGCCCCGCTTTGCTAGAGGTACCTTCAGCATAAAGCTTTCTATACCAGTTGAGAAGCATCATGGTTTACCATGCATCTGCTTCGTTTAATACATTTGTTTACTAGCAAGGCCTTTTTCCTTGAAGGCTGAGGCTCTTATTTTTCATTTTTAGACTGTTAGGATTATATAGGCTCGCAAATTCTTAAGTAGCCGTGGGAAAGCAGCAGATATTTTCTGGTATGGAACTGCAGAAAGTATGAATTAACGAAATGATGGAGTTTGAATGAAGAGGCTTCTAAATACATTCAAAGAATAGAGGGCCAACCAAAAAATTGGTTTTTGTTTACTCAAACAAAAGTATGAATTATCTGAGTTTGAAATGTTGCAAGTCTACTGTAAGTACCGTATTCCCTCGCATAACAGGCTCATCCCCAGTTTGGTCGCAAGACAGCAGATTTTTTTATTTCCGCACATAATAGGTACACCCCAGACTTGACTGTGATTAGTAATTGTGTACTGTATTTGCACAGTTGCAGTTCGATGTCTTTTTACGTTAACTGAAGGGAGGGGAAAAATAAAAGAAAAAGAGAACACCGTGGCAGCGCTGCGCAGGCTCGCCAAATGAAGAAGAAGGGCGATCGCCGGGGCGTCAGAATAACTGCTGAGTAACCCCTGCACCGGTGCCGGCAAGGCTCCAGCCACACGTGCTCTGCATGGAACGCACGATCCTGTCCTTGTCAAGTGCGCTTTTAGTTTTCTGTCAGAAAAAGCGTCGTCGTTATCGCGTTTGCTAGCTTGTCGGCAGATTTAAAAGCTGTTCGGCTCTCTGACATGAGCTTTCGTCTTTGCTGCCACTACGCGGACTTGCATAAGCTCGGTGGACATTTGTTGCCGTTGATTTCCAGGATGTGAATAAACATCGTATCACGCACCCTGCTCTCTGTGAGTGCAATCTTTTCGACACCCAATCTTCATATTGTCTTATGCAAACTTCCTGCGACAACATAACAAACCGTTGGCTAGGCCTATTGTTGCCGTTGATTTCTAGGATGTGAATAAACATCGTATCACGCACCCTGCTCTTTGTGAGTGCAATCTTTTCGACACCCAATCTTCATGTTGTCTTATGCAAACTTCCTGCGACAACATACCAAACCGTTGGCTAGGCCTAGTTAGTGTTGGTTTCTTTCCAGTGGCAATCGCAGGTGATTAAAGTTGCAGTTAGTACGGAATCAACGTAACTCTTTGCGGTGGTTCTACTTGAACGAAAGGGGTCATAATGGCGCTTGTAACGCTCGAATTGTGGTTCGCGATTCGATTGCAATGTCTTTGGATATGAGATGCGAGCACGTGAAACTGAACGATCTGTGCCATTCATTGATAATGCACATAATCTAGGTGGCCTGAAACGTAATCAGCGAATTCCCATGATGGCACTTTCTCATAGATTTTTTTCACCTCGTTCATTTCATTGGCAACACGGGTCTTTCAATGTTAATTTACTGAAAATTTGAATGCGTACCGCATTGCATGCCTCGATTCTCAAACATGCGAGACTGCATGCTCAACACGTTTTGCACTAGTGTGGCCTCTGAAGAAGGCTCTTTGGGCTGTAGTGCGGATATTCGTGACATTGGCGATGTATATGCCATCAGTGGTCTGTGCCGTAGTCGGAAATTAAATGTTAGGAAGTTTCACCCCTTATAATTGGGGCACTTTGAACTTGGAGCCCCATTTTCTGTTCATGGGCCGAGTGGCAAGTTGCATTTCGTTTCGTGACATCAGCTTAAAGTGTGTGGTCATTGTGGCACTCTTTTTCATCCCCCTTTGAGAAGGAAAGACTGTTGGGCTCTGAGCTTTTTATTTGTTTATTTATTTATTCATTAATTTACTCAAGTACCCAAAGGGCTCAGTAGGAGCATTACATGGGAGTTGGGGGAGGAGGCCACAAAGCACGACAAAATTTTGTTTAAGGAAATTGTGGAACTTAGTAAATAGGCAAATCTCCTTGGTAAAATAATAGCAGTGAAAAATATCGAATGTGAGTAAGTACCCTGAGAGAGAAAATTTATTGCTCAATGTGACAGGATTCCCTATATGTTAGTACTGCTGAGTTAAACATGTAAGACTGGGCTTTTGCAGCAATTCAAGTCGGTAAATCATTCTACTCTTTTATTGGCAGTGTTGTTGGTGAATTCTTGTACCTTTCTGTTCAGGCAAAGATGGGTGCACTCTGTAATGCGATGTTGAAGTGTGGGATGGTGACAAAATATGCTACCAGTCAAATGGCGTGTTACCGTAACAAAGAGTACAAAAAAGAATAATCTGTACTCGTCGACAACTTATCTTGGCTGTGGAGTGAAGGCTGTGTTCACTCCACAGGCGAGGCTTCGGCACCTTCGTGTGGTCTCCCAAGTAGTACGGCAGCTTACGACTGATTTCAGTTTTTCTCACTCGCATCGTTAACCTGTTCAGGAAGTTATATACACGAAAAATGTAAATGTAAAAGTCACTGTGGTTGTTCAGGTAAATTTCACCGGCGAATTATTAGTGAATTTTTCTTGGCAAACGAAAGGGCGCATTTGGGGCCACACACTGACCCACTACATCATGAACTTCATGTTTACATTGAAAAATGGGCATACTGAAAAGGTGGTGCTAGCAGTCTAGAAAAATGGAGTGTAAAAGAAGGCATTCTTGCAAAGTGATTAATAACTTTCTTTTGCCGACGTCTTCCTGAAATATATTTGAACCTCATAATATACAAAGTAGTGTGTACTTCAGCAAGGCGAACGAAAAAATTATCAGTTAACTTAAGTATTTGGCCTGGTAGCATACATGCATTTCAGTTCTCTAGCTTCCACAGTACTGCCAAGAAAGGCCGATGAGTGCGGAAAACTTTCTGCGCATTTCGAATGGCGACTTGCACTCGACTATAGCTGGCGTTTCGTCCCTGGCACAGGCACCCCTCCCCCTCCTCTGCCGTCGGGTTCACTCACTGGATCCGCGACTGCTGGAAGCACCAAGTCGGCAGCCGATCGAGAAGAAGCCATGGTGCTGGGCACGGAGTGGGCCGAAGTGGAAGCTGTCGAGCTGCTCAACGATGGCTCAGGCCTCGGATTCGGCATCATTGGTGGCCGCAGCACGGGTGTCGTCGTCAAGACTGTTTTGCCTGGCGGCGTTGCGGACCGGGTGAGTTGTTTTGTAGGTTCTTTCACCCCTTGTGAGATGCATTGTGATTGAGTAAGACTTGTTGTTGGGTGAGTCGGTTAACGTCAGTGGGGTGCATAGCAGCACAAACTTGGAAAACACAGATCAGAGGAAAGAAGTAGGAGGGAGTAGAAAGGTCGCACACTGCACTTCAACTGTTCATCTGAAAGAACAAGCCACCAGACTGACAGCTCTCAATGCATGCGTGCATCAAAATCTGCAAACACTGGTCACTCTCGTGTGTCTAGAAGCTGAAGCTCATTTCGGTAAAGTGAAACAGACTTAAGTTTGCGCTACTACGTACCCCATTGACATCATGATTAGGCTATATATATCTTCTTCAGTCCCAGTGACCCTATTTGGGGGCCTTTGCTTCGAGCAGGCGCAGCTAATTCTGAAGCGAGTGCTTTTTACCTTAAATGTGAATTTCCCACGTGTAGAGCATTACTTTACTTAAGCCCAATGAAGTGGTGCTCTATGTCTGGCATCTGCGACGCACGGCAGGTTCTATAATGAAATTTCCTGGCAAATGTCGTCGACTTCTTTGTCGTAGCAGATTTTTCTATAGTGTAATTTTATTGGTATGTGTGAAAGCACTACTGGAGGGTCTCCAATGAAGTTTGAAATCATTTTTACGCATAATCTATGTTGTAAATTGTGGTTAACAGCTGTGTAAATTGAATAAATTATAATTACTCAAATTAGTCAGAATAATTTGATTTCACCAGCTTTTTACTGTTGTTCTAAATAAAGTATTTCCAGAACAATCTGTACCGTTCGCCACAGTGGGCGTGATCTTATCGAAATGATCTACTACAGTCCGGAACCTTCTGGAAAACTGCAGGCGCGGTTTGCGCTGAGAATCGTGTGGTGTTTTGGGACGATAACAAAAACTTGGGAAATGGAACCACTGCGAGATGCAAACGCGCGAACACACACAGACAGGGAGAGAGAGAGAGTGAGGGCAGTGAACTACGACGCATTTGGTAAAGCTAACAGTGCGCCGTTTGCTCCTACATAGAATATTCGAGCTATTTATCGGCAAGGCCTACAAACAAGAAGCTCCAACAGAAGTCCATTCACATCGTGATTCTCCCTAGACCCTCATCGAATATAATCTCAAGCGCGAGTCGATCCTTATGTCAAGAGAGGCCTAGACATCGACCAAACAGTTGCGGCAGTGGGAAGGGAGGAGAGGGGCACGTTTCGCAGCCAGAGCTCAGAGGCCGCGCTTTGAGCGCTTCTTTCAACATCGATACTGTGTATACGCCATCCGAGCCTGCAGCCGCGTTATACACAAATCACGGTGTTTGACCACTGCCGTGTCGCACCATCTTCGCCATTCGTTCTACAATGACTGCCCTCAGGCCCTCCTCCTGTTAGCGCTCTCATTTGCACCGACGCTGCGCCGGCAAGATCAAACGTCCCCCGCTCTCGACGTTCTCGCGGACGCTGGCACACGAGCGAATGAACGAGAAAGAAAGAACGCTCTCAAGTAGGAACGAGGACCGCAAGTGCACCTGCTTGAATAAGCCCTTCGCGGATGACCTCTCGCGTTTCTATATACAGTCTAACCATCTTATACCCGTAACGCAGCAGCATCGGAATCGTCTTCGTTACGTCCCGCATTCGTTGCAACCGTATACATAAGTCAGCTCCAACCAATCAGCTATCTTGCCAGACCAAAAATCCAAGACACCAAAACGCATTTCCCTACGCTTCAAAGCCAGAATAAACGAAGGAATCCTTACTTGACTCTCAGTGGCATTTGAAACATTCGTTCATAAGTTGGCCAATCTTCAAAACCCTTATAAAAAAAATGAGGTTGTGAATTCCCTTCCACTACATATTTTGCGTTTAACCAAATATGTCTTCGTTACAGCCGATATCGCACTGTCTGTCGCGTCTTCGGCTTCGCTATAGAAATAAGAGGTCCCTGAAGTGAAACGTGACCAACCAAAGTTCGTATTTAGTTTTCTGTAGCCAATTACTCGCTGTATCAGTGTCCGTTACCGACGAAAACCACCTGCTCTCTCAATGAACTCAATTTCAATTAAACATGGCAGCCAATTAGCTGTTAGGCAAACGTGATCGATTTTTCTCAATGAACTCAATTTGCATTAAATATCCTGGCAGCTGTATAGTTGACCATTAATTAAATACGATTCTCTATCATATTCAGTATAACCCACAACCATCAATTTCACACCAGTTTCATTTTTAGAAGACTTGCTGAATGTACAGAAACCAAGAAAATGTAACAAGGTCGACAACTGAGTTAGCTGATGCAGTTCTATTTTCTACCAAAATGGCGCAAACAATGGCGAAGGTTACACGGGGGGAGGGGGGTGAATTATTGAACCCAGATAGGAAACACCTTCGGGTGAATTACAAAATCGGCTTCGTGGTGGCTCGCCAGCCCCTTTCAAATAAGTTTGTTTATATATATATTACATAATGCAGACCCTCCTTAGATCCAAGCATGTGGGCAGTTTCAAGAGGACATACATAGTTAATACAATAAGTGACGTAACGAAAATTGCTTGGGGTGGGTGTATCATACAACCATAGTATGATGCAAACTGAACTAAAAAAAAGGATACTACAAATCTATACTTAACCATGTCACGGGGTCGTGACGTGGCCGAAGACAGGAGACTTCGTGTTGGGATTTAACTGTTATTTGGGCGAACCTGTGCCCGGTAAACGGAAAGTCCAATTACAGCAGCAGTCTCGCACAGATAGCAGTCTCGGACTGATAGCGGCGAACTTGCCATTTTCTGGTACACTCAAGGGCAAAATAAAGAAGTTCTAAATAATTTTACCGGGAATTCCCCTCTTGAATCTAAAGAATGAATATGTGATATATATATATATATATATATATATATATATATATATATATATATATATATATATATATATATATAGCTTGGATGTCAAGGTTCTGAAGACCAAGATGGAAGCAAGTGGAATTCTTAAAATAAATATAACAGGATATTTTGCTATGGATAATTGTTATTGCATCATCAATAAATGTCTCATTATTGTGCAGTCAGTGGTACTATATTTCTTCAATAATCAAGTTCAATGACTCACTCAAACTACATGCAGTAGTTTTAGGCTTGCTGCGAGCATTCCTAGAAACGTAAAGAAAGATATTTTCCTATTATTGTAAGACATGATAGAATTTTCACTTGAGCAATGGCGCATAACAACATACAGTTCGATCAGAAGTAATTTAAAAGATCTTTAGCCGAGAAGGAGGCTAAATTCACAATTAGCTTGATGTTTGTGCCATCTTGCTTGCCAGGAGTGCACATAAGTGACTAAAGTAGCATTTCTAACACCTCTATTTATGAACCAACCTTAACTTAAGAAAGGAAAAGTATAAGAAACGTTCAAGGCGAGTTTCAAAACCGTCCATTATTTTGCGTCTTATGAAAGGTGTCCTTGACTCGTCAAGTATAGGCCCCGGGAGCGAGGGTAGGTAAATTATTGCTACAAAATCATTACCTCGAGCAGCAATAAATTAGCGTTACTGCAACAGACTAACAACAGTATGCACAGAAGCAGCCAAACGTAAGCAGCAGGAATGTTGGTTGTAGCACTGGCAGTTTTTGGTGAAACACTCATTTTTCACCTGGCCACTTTTGTTCAACCTCCATCAATGCAGTGGAGTCATCAAGTCAGTTTTGCTATTTTGACTTCTTGTATGTCTGTGCTGCTGTGTTCGGTTGTGTTATTGTGCTCCCTTCAGCGTTCACCTTTTTTTCTTCGCTTTTTTAAAAGTTTCACTAGATTTATTTGATAGTTTGAGCAGTTATATCACATTTTTTTTAATGTTGTTGCATTTATTGTGGAATGGTGCACAGAGGTAAACATCACCGACGAAATGGCTATGTCCTCACGGATTTCGTCGACTACCAGGGCGGACGCCAATCCCTACAGGGAAAGCGAAAAATGTGGAAACAGCTCGTGACAGAGTTCAATCGCAAAGTCTGCATCAGTGTACGGTCAACCGAACAACTAGAAATGTGTTTGCACCACCTCACCGCGGTGGTTAGTGGCTCATCTACTTGGCTGCTGACCCGCAGGTCGTGGGATCGAATCCCAGCTGCAGTGGATGTACTTTCGATGGAGGCAGAAATGCTGTAGGCCCGTATGCTCAGATTTTGGTGCACGTTAAAGAACCTCAGGTCATTGAAATTTTGGGAACCCTCCTCTACAGCGTCTCTCATAATCATATTGTAATTTTGGGACATTAAACCCCACATGTCAAGTGTTTACGCAACTACGGGAAGTTTTACCGGTACGGGAAAAGGTGTTTTTGCAATCATAGCAGATATCCACTGGACTGTATACGTGTGACTCTGTCAGCTATGAGACATTAGCAAGGCCGTCGCGCCCAAGTTGAAATGTGCCAACTCCAAAAAAAGTGCGATGTGACACTCAGCTTCATGAGACGCAGCGTAGCGAAACCACGATCGTAGACAATTTCCTGCAGAAACAGCATAGCGAGCAGATTCTTCACAGCACTTTATGTGAAGGGGGGGGGGGGGGCACAAAAATTCCTGCCTGTCTTTTGTCTCCACCGGGTTCGATCGATCGTTGAGGACTCGCCGCGGCCGTGACGTGTATGCGCTGTGCCGTTCAATATTTCTTCTTTGCAGTCATCTTAATAAATGAACTGTGAAATGTTGTCATCCCCCATGTTGTTTAAGGAAGCCTTAAGGTAGATCATAGGCTATGTTAATGGAGCCTTACTTAAGTACGAGGAAAGTTTCGCAAAAAGTACAAGGTAGGTGCTTGAAACTGGGCGTTAAGGGTAGACTTATGGCTGAGGTTGACTTAAGTCATAAGGATAAGTTTAGGTTATGTTTGTGAATACAGGGGTAAAGAGGGTGTCGTTCCTTATTGAGTTAAAGGGCTCTTCAGCAGCCCTCAAAGAAAAGTTTAACTAGTATGTGTGGAGAAGCATGGCTTTAATACTTCCAGTCAAAGCACATTACAGCACCTGATCACTTTGGGATATGCGCATGGTTTTTCTAGCTTCTGTTGGCAATAGTAGTGTTCTTATCACCAGTGCTTATTTGGAGCGCCACCAATGCGGCACGCAGATGCAAAAGTGGTGCCAATTCATTTTACCATGTACACATTCTTCAGCGTAGTGGTTCCACCTTCCAACTATCCTTGTAATGCAAGTCTTCTTACCTCTGTCCCACTCATCTTCGACTGCAGGATGGGCGGTTGCAGAGCGGAGACCACATTCTGCAGATCGGTGACGTCAACTTGCGTGGCCTGGGCTCGGAGCAGGTGGCCTCTGTCCTGCGTCAGGCAGGGGCCCGGGTGCGCCTCGTGGTGGCGCGCCCCTCAGAGTCCGGTGACCTGCCGGCACCTCGACCCGCGTCACTTCCGCCACCCCTCGTGCTGCCCACCCGGCTTCTAGCCGACGCCGAGGAGCTCGAACGGCGCCTGCAGATCCACAGTGCCACCATCGCCATGGCAACAGCCACAGGGGGGAAGCCCGGGTCGCCTCTGCTTTCCGAAGTGAGCTTAACACTAGCATGAAGATGAGGATAAGCTTCAATGTTTGACACATTTGCAGCGGGCAAATGTGTACTCCCAATGTGTTTTTTGAATAGTTCATTCATGTGTCATGTTTATGCATCTTATGCTGAAAATACCCAAGCAAATCCTGCTGTATACCCAAGGAAAACCTCTATCTAGGGCAGCACACATTTTCAGTGTTCGTGTGGTGAACCTGTGCACATTTTTTTTTAGAACCTTTTTGTTCTTACCTAAAGGCCACATACATTTCATGGGAAGATAAACTTTTAATTCAAAAAGAAGGCGCATATATAGGGTCCTGCATCACTGCTATTTTTAGCGATATCTTTTTAGCTGAAGTTGACAAAGCCGTAGCTGAAGAAGCCTAGGTAGCCTTAACATAATGCAAGTTTACAGATTTGTAGACTATCCTAGCCTGTATGAAAATTATTTCATAGTTAACGAGTCATGTACTCTTCATATTTTATCTCGTTACCACAAGAACTTTAATCCCTCAACTTTGACACATGACATGCCTGATGTCAATATGATTGAATCTCTTGAAATCATTTTTAGTTGCGAGTCTACACACTGAAGTGGTACTAAAAGAAAACAGAATTTCTTTTTTTTTTTTTTCAGATTATGGGGTTACTCTTTTACAGTACCAAAATTACCGTGCTTGCCATGATGAAGCACTTTTTAAGTAAGAGAACGGGCAAAAATAATGTGCGGATGACAAGGCCACCTTGAGGTTCTCGCACTAATCGAGGTTGAGGTCGTAGAATTCGACAGCATGCACAAGGACCTACAGTAAAAACTCGTTAATTATAAGTTGCTGGACCTTGAGAAATCTTCAAATTTCAAATTTTTGAATTAACAGAGTACGTACAGTAAAATCTCGTTACATAATGATTTTTAGGGGACCGGGGCAATTTGTTTGTTATTTTGAAATGTTGTTATGGTGAAAGCCCAAAAATTAATCATAAATACTTATTTTCCACCGTCCAAAATGACTTACCTTTGCAACGGTGGTTCCTTGAACTCGTTTTTTATAATAAAAAACAAATGCCCAAATGAACACCAAAAAGTGCACGTTTCCTCAATGAAGTCTGTTTTTTTTTTTGCTGTTTTTTTTTCGATTGCAGCGCTAACTTAACTTTGCAGCGCAAAGGCCACCAGCTCATGCGCATTCTCTTTAGTGAGAACTGCTTCCACTTCCTCGTCGCAAGCAGAGATGAACTCATTGTAGTAGCACCGCAGCACGAACGCCGACTTGCTTTGCAGACACAATAAGTAATAACCGAAAAGATGAACACGACTGACAAGGCCTCTTCAGAGAACACCTATACCCCTCTGGCCTCCTAGATCACGTGTACAAGTCACTAAGATAAGAAAAGCCCGAAGCATTGCGGTTGTCATCGCCTCTTTCAAAGAAAAGAAAAAGCTAAAAAAGAAAATTTCTCACGTTTTGTTCTCTGCTCCCTCGCTGTCTCAGGTTTGGACCCCCCCCCCCCCCCCCCCCCCCCGCTTTCTGCTCCGCAACTCCCACTCTGCCTCGCTGACCTTGTCCTCCTGTGTTGCCCTCGCCTCTGTGCTTATAAACCTGCAGCATTGGCGTTTCAATAGAAAGAAAGAAAGGAAAGTCGTCCTTTCGTTTTTTCCCCCTCAACATCGTCGCTTGTTTTCCGAGAAGCAAGGCGTTCGTTCGCTGTGTCGTCTGTTTGGGTACTGCTCCAATGGTCGCGACAGATTTCAGAACATGAGTTCGTAGTACTGAGGCGTTGTTAATATAACGCGAAAGTAAATTAGTGCTGGTTATTCTACAACGTTTGGTATTTTGAAGTACGTAGTAGTGAAATAATTTTACATTGAAACTATTAGCAGTTGTCGTGAGATTTTTAAAAGTTCGTCAATCTGAAAAGTTTGTTAAAGTGTTGTTCGTTCTACTGAGATTTTACTGTATACATCAAGTTGAATGCAAGGAAGTTGAAATTATTCAAAGTATAATCAGCGCTGGAGGTTATCCACTGGCTAGTTTGTGACTCCAAAGGTTATGTTTTCCAGCAATACGAGGTCACAGCTTTTCCGCAAACGAAAAGGAACTCCGGGCCTCGCTGCTGCAGTTACGGGGAAAAAAAAGTGATAACTGAAATGTGCGGCCGCAAAAAATAAGACATCTTCTTTTGCTATACAGTAGTGACACGCAGGCAGCGTGCATCTGCTTTTCGCTGCATCAGCACGTCATGATGTGACCATTTGCTTATTCTTTCTAGTAAGATAAAAAATTTAATAATAGACAGTGCCTCGAAATTCAGCATGTTTTGGATGGAAAACATTACCCTAATTACTCGAATCTAACGCGCACCTTTTTTCCGGTTAAGCGAGTTCATAAATCGCATGCACGTTAGAATCGAGTACGAAAAAAAAAAAATGAACACTCATTCTATTGCCATCAGGATTTCCAAAATGGCCGCCCCCTAAGTGTGTCGGCAATTTCTGCCTGTGTGTTTCCCATGTGCGGCACTTCGTACGTGTGCTGAGGAGCTCGTCATCTTGTAGTGCATTAGCATCGACGGCATGGAAGGGCCGACTCCAAAAATTCGAGTGCACCACGATGCCGCTTTCAAAAGAAAAGTCATCGCGTGTGCAGAAACGGACGCAAATAGGGCCGCATTGCGGTCGTTCGGAGTTCCTGAAACATGCATGCAGGACTGGCGGAAACAAAAGCAGAAGATTGTCGACAGCAAAACTTCATGCAAAGGCTTCAGTGTACCACAGCAGGATCGGTTTCCGCAAGTTAAAAAGCTGCTCAGCGAGTATGTGCTTGAGCAGCGAGCGGCACAGCGGCCCGTGACGACAGAACTGCTCCAAGTGCAGGCTATGCAATTAGTCTTAAAAAAAGGTCTAATGCGGAGCCAGTTTAAAGTGAGCAGGTGCTGGCTAACTTACTTTATGAAGAGGAAAGACTTTTCCCTCCAAAGGTGAACGGGCATATGCGAAAAGTTTTGCGGAGGAGTACGACGAAGAGCTTCACAGTTTTCAGAGGTTCGTCCTAAACTTGCAGCACAACAACGGCTACTTGCTTGGGCAAATCGGGAATGCCGATCAGATGCCTTTTTGCTTCGACATGCCTGGCACCACAACCGTTGCAAGTTCACCTGACGTCGCAAGCAAGTTCGCGTACTGGCGTCGGTCCACGGTAAAACTACAGTAGCCGGCGCCACGCATTGGCATCAGCCTCTCCTTACATACATTTTAATAAAAAAAAAACTACAGTGACGGCAATGCTCTGTTACATGTCAGATGGGCACAGCTTCCCCCGTACCTCATACAGTGAAAGCTCGTTAATTCACACCTCATTAATTCGAAATTTTGGATAATTCAAAATGGTCGCCGCAGTCCGGTCCGCAGTGCATATGAGACCATGTGTAAAACGATTCGTTAATTCGAACAGAAATTGCTGCCTCTACGGATAATTCGAAGCGCGCGCCGCCGAGCGTCATCATCGTCAAACACTAGTGGAAGCTTTTACGGTCGAACGATAGGTGGTACGACCAGTTTTTCGAGCTTCAAGTGGCCTCCGAGCAAAGGGGGAGCAAAGTATGGCCCCCAAAATCCAGGGAGCAATTTTTGTTTTTGTTTTTTTTTTCCGTAGCCCTCCCGCTATCTCAGCGCCTAGCGTCACTTGTACGCGGGACCCATGGGACGCTGAGGAGTCGGCGGAGTAGTCCTAGCAGTCCTAGGCCGCTCCCCGCAGCGTCACTTTGTTCCTCGAGCACGTTGTTCGTTCACGCCGTCAAGCCGTCTTATTCCGCGTCGAAGTTGCAAGATGCCGCGGGGAAACTACTGCGCGAAGACTGTCAAGGAGAAGGTGGAGATTTTGCGAAAGGTTGACCAAGGGAACTCGAGCAAATATGAAATTGCGAGGAAGCACGGCATACCTCCGAGCACGTTGTCAACCTACGTTTGCAGCAGGACGGCCATTGAAAACGCCTATGAAGCCGAGGATTTTGGCGGCAGTCGAAAAAGGGTAAGGACAGCGAAGTTCCCAGAACCGGAGTCAGCTTTGATTATCTGAGTTAAAGAAATGAGAGCCCAGAGTATCGCATTTAGTGGCCCTATCATCGTGGTCAAGGCAGCCGATTTCGCCCTGCGCTTGGACATTGAAGACTTTGTCGCCTCCGAGGGATGGTTTCATCGTTTCAGGGAGCGGCACAATCCCGTATTCCGCACGTTATCCGGCGAGGCAAAGGAAGTGGACGCCGAAACATGCGCTACTTGGAGAAGCGACACCCTGCAGCAGTACTTGGAGAGCTACTCAGCACAGAATGTGTTTAAAGCTGACGAGACAGCGTTATTTTTCAAGTTGCAGCCAGACAAGACGATCACCTACAAGGGAGACAGCTGTGCTGGCGGCAAGCGCAGCAAAGAGCGTGTCACTGTTCTGGTCGCCGCAAATATGAACGGTACGGAAAAGGTCCCCCTTTTTGTGATTGGCAAAGCACTCAAGCCACGGTGCTTCAAAAACATTCGCTCACTGCCGACGGAGTACGCCGCAAACAAGAAAGCCTGGATGACAGGTGACCTATTCAGGAAGTGGCTACTGAAATTTGACAGGCGAATGGAACTGGGCGGCAGACGCGTTGTTCTTGTCGTCGACAACTGTTCGGCGCACAAAGTCGACGTTGAGCTGAGAGCAACTAAGTTGGTGTTCCGTCTGGCAAATACGACTGCGGCCCTACAGCCAATGGACCAGGGTGTGATAAAGAACATTACATTAAGTGCTTTTATAGGCGTCACGTGCTGTAGAGAATGATTTTGTGCGCGGGCGACAGGAAGGACTTTGGCATTACGCTGCTCACTGCCATGCACATGTTGGTGCGCGCATGGGAACAGGTGACCGCGACCACAATCGCAAACTGTTTCCGCCACAGTGGATTTGCAGCTGGAAGTGCGCAGGATAGTTGTGACGTCGACGTGGATGGGGCTGAGGAGCTCATGCCAGTGACATTGCGCGACACTCTTCGGGGCGTACGTTTTGCCGATTATGTTGAAGTTGACACCGGTGCATCGGTGTGTGGTGCCCTGACTGATGAGGACATTATCGCTCAAGTAGCCGGTGCGCAGCCTGATGCTGAAGAGCCAGAAGGCGAGGAAGAGGAAAATGACGAAGCGCCTGTGCGCCCGTCAGCTTCTGCGGTGATGGAGGCACTTAATGTGGCGCGTCTCTTCTTCAGCTTTGAAGAGGGTGAAGAGGATTCCCTGCGCCGTGTCCGCGCGCTGGAACAGAGAGCCGCAGCTGTGGCATTCAGAGAAAAGAAGCAGATGGTCATCACCGACTTTTTTGGCCAATAAATATTTTTCGTGCCCCCACCCCCGAAATCCACCCATTTTTGCTCACTTTCATTATTTCGAATTTTGTTTAATTCGAAATCGCTCAGCGTTTCCGTGGAATTCGAATTAACAAGCTTTTACTGTATTTAAATGGAAGACGCTCTCTAAAGGAGTGGTTTTTTTGAGTGGTGTGATCAAGCGGGCCAGCAAGAAAAATGGGTGCGCGTTTCAATTGATGTCTTACTTTTTTTCTTTGTCATGGAAATCGGGTGCGAGTTACAATCGAGGGCGCGGTAGAATCGAGTAAATACTGTATTATTGAAACCTTCGAACAGAGTTTTCGAAGTAGATGTAGTAGGCAATAACTCCGCCAGCAGTGCAAGTGCGCAAATTGCAGGAGCCACCGGCACTCGGAGGTTCGCATACATTGTGAATTCTGCCAGGCAGTCCTTTATTAGTTTCTTTCTATCCCCTCAAAGAATGGGTAAATCACGACGTGCTGACGTTGCGAGAAGCATGCGACATGCTGCCCGCATGTCACCGCTGTGCTGCTGTGAAGCATGTTTTGTTTTCCGTAGGCGCACATTTCAACTCATCACGAGACTGCTCTTTTTGTTTACAATTCCATTTTCCTTATGCTAGAAGTATCGAGGCTAGGGTATTTCAGCTGCCACTCATTAGTATCGCTACAGTACCTTGCCTAGCGGCTCTTTAAGGCTGTCGTTTCTGCAGTTATGCGGCAAAAGCAAAATTGTGTTCGGGAATCGGTACACTGCACTCAAAGTTTTCTAATGAACCGGACTGGTGCTGACCGCCGCTTCAAATTATCCACTCAAATTTACATTGCAAGATACGGTACCGCGAAAATACTTCAGATTAAGCGAGATTTCGAAATGACGAAGTTTGAATTATTGAGGTTTTACTGTACGTCGTTTTTATTTGTAAAAATGAAGTACTATATTTACTTTAATGTAATATTTTCACTACCTGAAGTTGGCCCACACGTTACAATCGAATGCCGAAATACAAGTTGTCTAAAAAGTGCGATGATGCACTCAATTTTTTTATTTTACTTTTTTCCTCCTGGGAAGTCACCGCTCACTGTTACAGTAGAATAAATATTGTACACTGTCCTCTGAGGGCGCCATACTCACCATACAGTATATATAACCATGTTACGACGGATCTGCTAAAGACAGACTTTCGGATACGACATACCAATCGGTGTTGTTCTGCCCACCAGCATATTTGTTTCATTGATTAAGCTTTGTTTTCTATGGATTCTGGTGCAACGAACCTTCTGATATAACTGACTAAAATGCGAGGCCACTAAGGTGGCCAGGACACTTTTATAGCAAACTTTTCTACCCCAGGTCGTCTCAAATTCAATAACTTCCAATTAAAAAATTAGCGCACTTTCGGGACGGCAACGGTGCGTCGTAGATATCGACGTAATGATTTAAGAACGAAGGCTGCTGATCTACGGTATGTTACTGGTCAGTTATGCCTAACTAAGTCGACAGAAAAAGTCACCGCGCAGCAAGCCTGGTTTTGCGTTTTGGGGCGCTGACGCGTGAAATTGCTAGCTGCTGCTCTGAGCTGTTGCTGCGTACCGAGCTTGGCTGGGTGGGCGGTGGATCAGCCGCCGATGCGCATATGCCCATCCGCAGGTCTTAGGAGCCAGCGAAAGATCTAATTCGTCGCTTTCAACGAAGCACATTATGGCTTCTTCGCTTTTGCATATCCAATGACGCGATGATCTTGCCCGCTAAGTTTGGGGCTATGTTAGGCTTAGCCATGACTTCGAGCAGAAATCACGGATGCCGTGTGCGTGGCCGCAATGCCTGATGTTTAGAGGTATGCCATGCTCGATCGCGAGTGCAAAGAGTTGTCCTGCTGAGGTCCCTGTCCTGAATTCCGAGTGCTAGAGTCCAACAAGATGCTGCTACACTAGGTCCAAGATGCACGTCTGCTATGTTCGCGACGAGTTCAGTGCACTATCGTAACCTGATAAGTGAACTTCTGCTTGCAGCTGCCTTAACTACATCGCGACCCATGAATACAGACACATGAATAAAGGCTATAATTTCCTGAAAAACGCCATTTTTTTCTTACTTCCGCAATAATTTTCGGCACCTCAGTAGGCGCGAAATTTTTTTACAGCACTTCTGCATAGTTTTTAGTGAATATGTTGTAGAATTAAATTTTTTAATGAAGGGAGGGGGGAGGTTCAAGAAACTTGGTTATTTTTTATTCCCCCATTGAGAGTATATTCGTTTTTTACTTGTAATTTTCTCTGGTTGTTACAGACCCATTCAGTGGTTACGTAAAAGTCTGTTGTAACAGTACTTGGATTTTACATACTCACAGTGAAGCAGATTAAATCCTCTTCACCGTGTAGGTCTGTTGTAATGAGGTTATACTATAGCAAGTGTCAGAATACTTCATTGGGCCAGTTTTGCCAAATCACAAATAACGTGCTTTGAGATTTGTGACATCACGTGCAAACATTTTCGCGTGAAAGTTGTGGGGTCTCAGAATGGCGAACGAGCGCCACGCCATGCTCTTGGAGTGAACGGACACAGCAGGCGCGGTTGGTACAAACCAAACAACAAACATTTATTTAGCTAATTTAAAAGACGATATCGTCCGCCGAATCGATACATCAATTGTAATTAACACGCACCATACGAACCACATAACACAGTAACACACCAAACACACAATGACACACCCAAGGCGGCGTCGCCAACGCTTGACTTACCACGAGGGCCCCCGATGCGCAGGCCCGCGGTGCCCCGCGCCGAGGACCCACACTAGTAACAACCAACCATTAGTGGCAGCTGCCACGCGCACAAGAGACTCGCTCAACTCTTGCCCGCCACCAAGGGCTGTCTTCCGCCAGGGGTCACCGCCGGCGCTACCACTCTACCAACAGTGGTACTCAACGCGAACACAACGCCATCTATCATCCGGCGGTTGTCACCCCCGAAATACGGCTTCTGTGCGAGACACGTGCGCCACGCGGCGCAAACAACTTTACAGGGGGTGTCAGCACCCCCACAAAATCATCAATGAGACCCTCACCTTCATTTTTCTTAATGACATGCTTTGGCCGCAAATAACACACAAACAAAGTAAAGGAACACTCAACTACAAGCACAAGCGGCTTGTGCTTGTCATTGAGTGTTCCTTTACTTTGTGTGTGTGTTATTTGTGGCCAAAGCATGTCATTAAGCAAGTAACAACAAGACCAACAATCAATATAGTTCATCTTTATATTGCACTAATAAACCTACAATATTGAAGATAATGACATCGAGTTTTGAGAGTGAAATTTACCTATCTAAACCAGTTCATGGTTTCACTTTAGTTTGTCTATAAGCTCAGACAACCCATCAGTTGGAACGAACCCCATGAAGTCAACTGCTAGGCTACCTACTGTTATGCAATTTTGTGACAGCCTTTAACCCAGGGTCCCCTTTTCAGTATGGTTGCTTTCAAATGCTTGTTTTTTTGTTCATGATTTATGTGTTTGTTTTGCATCTCAATGAACCCAAACATTTAAACTTTGACAGATGGCGCTGGATGAACTTCCCGAGACTGAATCCTTCGAAGTCGAGCTCGTGAAAGACCAGCAGGGATTGGGCATCACCATTGCTGGTTATGTCTGTGAAAAGGGCACTCAAGGTATGTTCAGCCTTTTGGGGGTGTGCTATTTATGCGGGCTTGACTTCAATTGCTATTGATGCAAAATACGAAGTGATTTTAGCATCCCCTTTCTTCATCGATTTAGTGAGGTTTTGGTTTCAAATGTCAAGTGTTTACACTACTTCAATCTGTAAACATGGATACTTTACATGGCACAAGATGTAGGTATCTACCTCTAAAACAAAGGCAGTCCAGTGTTGAGTCTTTTGTGCGGAAGTTATCCATTAAGATGGTTCCAAGGTCCTCTAAAGTTAAGGGGGGACGCGGCTTTGGGATCGCGAAAAATGGCAAAAAAAATGATTTTTTGAAACTCAAGTTTTCAGTTTCTGGAACCCTTTTTCTATCTGGTTCCAGAATATCTACACTGAAAACCGCGCAGAAGTGCTTCGGATAATTCGTTTCACCCACCTAGGTAGCAAAACTTTTTCTGGAAATGGCGAGAAAACGGCGATTTTCAAAAAATTATAGCTTCGCGATGCTTGGGCCGGGAGCCGGCTTCTTGAGCTCATCGGAAAGAGCATTTCTCCGTGTTTAACTTTCCCGCCTCAGCTGGCTCCTCTCTTTAACAACAAGCGAGCAAAAAGCAAATGTTTGAAGGTCGTTTTGAGGCCCTTGATTGGCCGTGGCCGCCATGTTGCCTCAGCTCGCCTCGCCATTGGCCCGATGCTCGCTCCGGGAGATCGTCGTCTGCTGCTTGTGCGTCGCGAGGACATGGCTCTCGAAAATCGCCACTTCGTGACGTGTTCACGGCTTGATAATCACTTAAGATATAACTACGCTTTACTTACGAGCAGTAAGCGGATGCGCAATCAGCTTACTACGAGCGGGAGCGCAGTCTACGAGCGCCGCGCGTCATCGGAGTCGTCTTTAGCCCTAACTCCACCGACAGCGAGACTGCGGGCAGGAACGATGCGCTAGCGCACTCTTGGCGACGTGCTTCTTCGCAAGAAATAAAGCACATCACTCGCTAGCTCCTCTGAAGTACGTAACGGCATTTTAAGGATCGGCAGCGGACCGCATACTCAAGCTCGGCACCCCTCCCCCCTTCTCTGCCTAGGATTGCTCGGAGCAGTGGCCAGCAGTTTCACCCGTCGTCACTCGAAAATGTGACGTCAAGCGCAGTGCGCGCCGATTTTTCGTCATCGTAATTACACATTTCGCGCATCGTCACCGAACGCCGCCGGCAAGTGCCTTACGTGCCGGTTGCACTGTCCACGCGGCCGTGCACTCCACGGTCATATGGAGTGCTGTTAATAAGCTTTTGTGATGCGATTTAGACATGTGTGATGCGATTTATACGTGCTTGGAACCGTGCTTGGTATCGCCACGAACGTCTATGTCTATGAATGTTCTGAGGCAATGGAAGCCTTGTAGATTAGCGTTTCTGCGATCGGTTGTATGATGGTGTTTGACGGCTAGAGCGGCAAAAGAGCACGTATGAATCAGGGGCAAGAATTTTTATATGCCCGTTTTACGTCATTAAATAGACTGCTAAAAATTCCTGTGCCACCAGTCTTCTGCCCATAACTTTGTTATTTGGAAAGAAGGCATAGGCTGTCATGTTGTGATCCCTTTTTCTGATGCAATAAATCTCTCTCTAAATAAAAAAATGTTCAGTGAATACTTATAATCAAGAACTTAATTACGCTAATTACAACTTCGGCACAAGAAATATGTGTAATCAATTCAGTATATGGTCTCATTCAATTACAATCTTTTCTGTCATGCCTATCACACCACTCCTTCATACAAAGAACTTGGTTTGAAATCCATACTTGTTCTTTGTAAAACATGAAAAGGAAATTATGGGGGGTGGGGGGGGGGGAAAGGGCAACCAAGGCACGCTGGTCAGAGACCAGATACCTGAAAAGTCAAATATCACAAGACAAACCTAAGATCACAATCTTTAGGTGTTTTAGAGACGTAAAAAGAAGTTGAAACATTAAACGCAGTTTTCTCAATACTGTTTTTTTGGCATTATACTCAGCTCGTGGAGCAGATATCTGGGCAACCACTGTACGGATATTGATTCCGTTTATTTTGTAATGCTCCTTGAACTGTGCTTCAGGGGGCTGCGATCTTAGTTTTTCATTTTGCTCCTTAAAGAATTTTTTGTAGAGTTTCTTGTTTGTAGTGCAAGTGTGCTCATTGCAATGTCGCTGGAGAAAACGTTAACTACAAGTTTTAGTGTTGCAAATATATTATTTTGAGAACGCAGCCCCCTTCAACATACATTTGGCTGTGGATACAGCAATTACCAACCATTTTTGTCATTTTATAAAATAGCCCCGCCGCGGTGGTCTAGTGGCTAAGGTACTCGGCTGCTGACCCGCAGGGCGCGGGTTCAAATCCCGGCTGCGGCGGCTGCATTTCCGATGGAGGCGGAAATGTTGTAGGCCCGTGTGCTCAGATTTGGGTGCAGGTTAAAGAACCCCAGGTGGTCTAAATTTCCGGAGCCCTCCACTACGGCGTCTCTCATAATCATATAGTGGTTTTGGGACGTTAAACCCCACATATCAATCAATCAATCAATCATTTTATAAATCCTCCAGCCCCTCCACGAGATTCAATTGAAAAATAATTTGTCTCTTATTAGGTATTTGTGCTATCGCCTCAAAATTTTTGTGGATGCACGGTGAGGCCATTTTTAGTTTCTGTGGCAATTTTCGTCATCATCCGACCAGAAACAAGAAAGTTCATTCTCAAAGGCACGTCCCCCCTTAAATGTGAGCAATTCTAAAACTACTCCTTGGTACACAAGTTTAGCGTGGCATGTGTTCCCACATTTACATTGTTTAAGGGGGGAGGCTACACTTAACAAGTAACTTTTTATTAATGAGTAGATCTGAACGACATTTTCACAGTTTGTGTATTCAGATGGGCAGATTCTAAAAATGTAATTACTTTTTTGATAGGTCAAGTAGTTTCCAAAATACTGCACAATCAATGTATAACCTGGGTCGTTTGTTTGAAGCCTAATCAGCATATAAGCAGCAAGCACCAAAACATTGGCGACAGTGTAAAAACAACGTTGGATGTTTAACGAGTACAATATGCTATAAATCAATTTTTTGGGCCAATTTCTATAAGAGTTAGAGGACATCAATGTTCTCAGAAAAAAAGCCTTTTTCACATATCATGCATGTGACCCTATAAAAAAAATTTTTGAGGTGTATATTGCCTTCAAAATAGGCATCTTGCTTACTGCATGCATTTATCTTTCGGGCAAAAAAAAAAAAAGAATTATGCTAATAGCTGAAATAGAACAGAAGCTATTTTCCCTTTAAACTTGGCAAATCTACCGAAATTGCTGTTTTGAGAAAACGAGAAAAAACGTTTCAAAACACTTTTATTGGAAAAATATAATAAAGTTTTGTGAAAATGCACTAAGGATAACCTGGATGCATGGCTTCCTTATCCTTTTTCCTGGCCAGCTTTCCCACAGTCTGGGATGCTTCTCTCTCTTTATTGGAGCTCGCACTGCGACAACAGTTTCTCCCTGGCCCTTAGGGATGTGCTGCTGGGTATGTTCATGTCTAGCTGCTCAAGAATAGCAGCAGATGCATTGAGATTGCCGGTGTTAAAGCGCACCACAGCTTCTGTGACAGCAGCTTGCACAGCAAAAAGAGAAGCGTGCTGCTCTTTTGATATCAAGCTCTAAATCACGGAGTGGAGGCTTTCATTTGAATTTCGAGTCTTGCCTCGCTGGCATCTTTGGAGGAGGGCCTTTTCAGACAGCCGAGTGTATACTGGCATCATTACTTCGACAGCCTCTTTTGGCAAACTGTAGAGGTGCGGGGATTCTGGCTCGCATTTTGCTTTCGCAGCATTGTGGCAGCACCATGAATCAGCACCGACTGGACACCAACTGGTGTCTGAACAGTTATCAGTGGATGTGACGTGCTTGTATGTTGCCATGATGGCCTTTTGCATTGCGTCCACATCACCTTCATTAGATTTCAGTCCCCAACCATAACATTTGCTGAGTCTAATGATCAACTGGCCTCTCCCACCTAGGCTTTTCTTGCCTTCCTCTTTTTGTTTCTGCACTAAGTTTCTTAGTGCCGTCCCCATGCGCTTTTGAACGGTATTGATGCAGTCTTCTTTTTCTACACCGACGAAGCCGTACACTTTCGCTACCTTGATGGCACCAAATGTGCGGCTGTCATCGTCACATAAAATGGTCGTGTACCGTAGTCCATGTCGATCTAAGGATCTTTCAAAAAGGAGGAGCCCACATTCTACTTCCATTTGACCCACTTTACCACCGGTATTCTTCTGGAAATGGTGCGTTTTTTTCCACTCAGCGTAGCCCTCCGAGTTGGGCTTTGGCCCCACTTTACACCCCAAACAAAAGTTTGAGAGGACAACATAGTTCAGCACGTACCTTGTGAAAAGTTCTATCACCGCACAGACGCCTATGTGGGAGGAGTGGCCGCGGGTCAACCACGTACCGTCAAAGGAGACTGTGATGTTTCCTCTGTGGCCAAAATATAGGTCCTCGTACAACGAGGCCAACTCCTTTGCACACTGGCTCATTGCCACCTTTGTTGCTTGCGTGGCTGCGGGTGCCAAAGTCTGCTTCAAATGCCGCTAAAAAGTGCGGTGGTACATGCCACGTTGGGACAATCCCATAGCCACAAATACGTCATTCATCGCTGTCTGGCCATTTTCCATTGAAATCACCGCCCGCGTAGCTAGGAGATTAATTTCAAACAGGTTGCAGGTCTTCTTGCTATTAGTTCGAGGCGAGCTCCAGTCAGCGCCGATACTTTCACAATTTTCGCACACGACAGTCGGCTTCACTGCGAGGCCATATTTGCGATTTCCCGTAGCGATTCGTGCTGGCCCGTGGCAAGTTTCGCATCACAGATATTGAAGGAGTGAGTTCATGCACTCCGTGTTTACTATCATGTAAGGAGGAGGCTCATCTAACACTGGCGCCGTCGCCGCCCCACTTGACTTCGCAAAGCGTTCAA